GTCTAAAGTCTAAAGTCTAAAGTCTGAAGTCTGAAGTCTGAAGTCTAAAGTCTAAAGTCTAAAGTCTAAAGTCTAAAGTCTAAAGTCTAAAGTCTAAAGTCTAAAGTCTAATGTCTAATCTGTAAAGCCCAGACCTGCTCAATAACCCCCCTCCATAAAGTAATAAGCAAACCCTAACATGTATTAGTCATCCTCACCCTGTCTCCAGGACGAAAAATTCAATGCACCAGAAATCTAAGTACGAACTTTGCAGTGTAAATCTAACTCTTAAGAGAACTCTGAAGGGAGTTAGGACCGGTGTAGAAACACAAACTTCAAAAAACAGTGAGGAGGCACAGCAATAATAGATAAAAAGGAAAGGTTCAGCATTTCTTTTTCTGTTTATGTCAAAGGGAAAATGAATTCTAGATTGACATGACCTATGCAGACATCAAAAGTATATGCGCTCTCCTAAATCCAAAACCCTCCCAGAATAAAAATAATAAAAAAACACCAACAGTAAAGCAAAAAGGAACAAAGAACACTTTTTTTTCTCTTTGCTATCGTAATACAAAAAAAGGAAAACAAGAGCCTAAGAAAAGTTACAAAAAAGAAGGCCACTTGACACATCTAGACCGTTTGGTAAGAAGTAGCTAATTGATCCTAGGATCTCGTTCAGCGTTATTTTTTCCAGAGAAGTCAGGGTTCTGAAACATAGTTGGTAGCTTGTTCCAGACTCCTGTAACCTGTTGGAGGGTAAATTAGTGCCTCCATCACAGTACCGAAAGACTTGTGTGCACCTGTGTTAACTGCTTCTTTCCTCTGAGAAGAAACGCGTACCTGTGTCTGAAAACCCCCGCTTTGTGTGTAATACATTTAAGTCACAACCACAACAAATGGTATGAAAGCGAAATAAAACATTGTATTAAAAAAGACTCCGTTCACTATTTCAATGATCAAACTCACATGGTGACCTACTATGAGTCTGGAAAGGCCTCTCTCTCAGATAATGGAGCACTTATGATTAGACCCATAACGCAGAGGCTCCAGGTCCGCTTTGATGCACTCTCCAGTGCAATTACTTAAATTCCTCATCCAGGCACTGATCACCCTCAACAGCCTACAATATTTCATATGTCATCTTCCTCCAAGAGCCAAACGATGCAAAAGAAACCACAAACAACATCTTCTCCTGAAAAATAGCATCTGCAGCCCACAGCTATTAAACCTGTCGCTTCATCAGCAGGCAAGGAGGTTACCCATTAATCATACACAACAAGCTGGAATGAAAAGTGAAGTGACACATGATGAATGCAGAAACTCTGAAGCAATTATTTACTGCAGTTGCCCATTGGCTAACAAACCACATTTGTTCCAGCCTCCACATTTTCACTTTTCTTCTGATGCCCATGCCTGTCTCTGCATGGTATCGGAAAGGCCAGCAGTCACATGGAAGGCACTGCCGAAATCTACCCCTTCAGATCTGGTGTGGTTTCTGGCTTGTATGTTCAGACAGGTCTGGCCTAGGAAGGGACAGACCCTGAGGGAGACTACTTTGCAACTGCAGCTGGGCCTGAAAAACTTTCTTCTTTTGAAATCCATCATACACCCAGTTTTGTTAAAAAAAAATCTATTTTTGCTGAATTTCAAAGGCATTTCTAAAAACAGATGTAAGTAGGAGGAAGCACTTGAAAGCAGGTGAGAGAATCTTTATCCTCTCATCTCCTCTGGGCTGTTGTAGGAGCTGGTTCCGTATCATCCTGAATTCACAAAGGCCATTTCTTTACCAAAGTAAGACTAATGGTTATTAAAAAAAAAGACTATGAAGTTGAAATTAAAAACTCTTCTGTTTCTGAGAACCTCACCCTCCAACCACTCTTTTCTGTTATGCAAATTCTATAAGCAAAACATTTTTTTTTTCAGAAATCAAACAATTCCAACCTGAATAACATGTCTCCATCACCCTCTCTCTCTATACAGACACAGAAAGTCAAATTTGCTTCATTATAGCCACAGAGAAAAACAGGAACTAAGCTTGGCCGAAAATCAGTTGTTTCTTGTTTACAGAGCCCTGGATATTCTTTTATAACAGGACTAGTGGCTGTGGACCAAACCTTAAACTGGGCACCTGAATAAACAGTGACTAAAGAGATAGCAGGAGAAAGACATTAATAACACTGATGGGTGTACTGTATGTAGGAGGAATATGGGTGTGTTATTAAAGCACCATGCAAGTGAAGCAATATTTTGCTAACTGGGTACATTTTGTGACTCTGTGTTTGTAATGTTCTAATGTATTTTAACCCCGCCTAGACAGGTTACAACATTAAACTTCTGAAAGCCAGTATGAATTATTTGATGAGTAGAAATGGTCTGTTTTGCAGTTTTTGCAATACAAATGCACCTCTGAAACACTAAGAATGTGTGTTTTGAAGTAATCAGCTTGCCTGATACACTCATTGTGCACTGCAGTCTCAATGGACAGCAAGACATGAAGAAGTCATCAGTGGTCTTGCAGTCCAATTCAGATCGGTGCCCTGGAGTGATTCCCAACCCTGGTCCTGGTGGAACACTGCATCTTCACGTTTTTGCTCCAGCCAAGTTCTTAATTACAGACTCATTGACTTCAGCTTTCTATTTGGGACAGCTTTGTTCATTTGCTTTCAGCTCTTAAAAGATAAAATGGTATTTGTTGGTGGTATCAGCCCTTCAGAAATACATTCATTCAGGTGAGCAGCCTGAAATGCAACCAAGTGGACCTCGGCTGAAGGAAAGTTCTTGTGATGGGCGGGTCCTGTACAGTACCACCCCTGTTGTGTGCGTGTCCTTTACAGTACCACCCCCCACTGTGGGCGTGTCCTGCACAGTGTCATTCTCCCCTGCATCTGTCCATCAACTGCACCAACTGATCAGTAATTAGTAAGAGTTGTCTGAACAGAATGGAGGAGAGCCTGTGAACAATTCTGTGTGCTGGAGTTGCCGGGAACAGTACTCAGGACTGACCGAAGAAATGAGCTGGTGGGTTAAGCCATTGATCGGCACTGGAGCTGTAGAGCCCAGCTGGAATTATAACCAGCAGATAGTGTTTCTGCAGGACCAGGGCTGGATCCACTGCCTTAGGGCAGAGTTTCCCACTATCTATCCTGGAGTAACTCTGGCCCTTCTAGTGTTCATTCCAGATGGACTGTGTTGGTTTGGCTCATCAAGCAATGTTTCAGCTATTGAAACTTATTCAGGTGTATTAAGTCTCAATATTTCTGTTCTATTTTCCTGCGTGGAATTCATATTCACATGTTCCTTTGCAACCAACGCACTCAAATCTCTTGGATTTGACTTGCAACCAAAAGAATTACCCATGTACTTTTTGTATTTATATTGCAAACATTATTCAATTGCAACAAAACCAGAGCAGCAAAAAAATAAATAACAGCCAGCAAACTCCATTCTTCCAGTGACCAAAATCAATTGGCCTTGGTTTGCAAAACATATTATAACACAAAGTCTAGCATTATAAGTTGCACGAAAGCAGGTTTTTGTGCAAACTATGCTGAGCTGAGGTACATTTTAGGTTAGCATTGTACACTGTGTTGGTGTAGGAACTGTATACTATAGTGTGATTGAGTACCTTGTTTTGTTTCTTTATATTCTACACACCTTTATGTCTTGATTGACAAGTTAAATGTCTATTAGTGTATGAAGGAAAAAAGGAATGTGATCCCTACACAACATACTGGCACTACTCTGTATCTTTAGGATCGATTTTTGTGTATTTACATGTTCATACTAATCTGTGCCAACCATGAACATCAAACAGCAGCAGGGTACTCCAAGGATCTGCAACAAACAATTGAAAAGGATTTGGGGTGCCTAGAAGCTGCATTGCCTGCAAACATGGTGATCCAAAGCTCTTAACACTATATACTTTGCAAAGCTGTGATGCAATTCCTAAGAGCAAAATACAGCTAAACTAGAATTCAATCAAGCAGAACAAGCACCTCGGACTGAAGAATTGTAGCTAATAAAAGATCTCATATGCATGCATTTACTGCTATTCATGAACACCCCACTCACCTTGATTACTGAATGAAGCCTAATGAGACAATTGAAAATGGCTTTTAAGCTTGTGCCATGAATAGATCTATTTCAAGTCCCATTGATGCTAATATTTTTTAATTAGCCAAATAATGGGCTTTGGGGGAGTTATTACATTTGTTTGCTCACTGCAGTAGATATGAAATCTGCAGCAGCCTCATTTTTGTGCTGTAAGTATTTTTCTTCCGCTTTCATTTTTCCCCCTGCATTGCTATTCCCCCTTCAAGTCTGGCATGGCTGCGGAGAATTATTTCCATATATAGCATAAAAAGCAGCCAATTTACTGGGAAGTGTCACTGCTCAGTGTGCCAAGATAAAAACTCCGAGGTAGTCTGTATTAAGCTGTCACTCAACATTACATGCTGTCCTAAAGATTATTCTCATTGCCAGCACTGTAAACAAGAGACTGTCTCATTTTGAGCAGCCTTTGCATTTCTGAGACTTCATCTTATTGCCTTTCCTTAAATCTGCATGACGCTTGTGAGAAAGGCAGCCAAACGCAGCTTAAAATGAGACAACTGTTTTGGCAGCGTTTCTCTGAACCCTGTGTAACAGCACCATGTACTGTAACTGCATGGGGGTGTGGATGATGGGATGGAAAAGGCGTCAGCGAAGCCAGACAGCTCAAAGCTCTGCACCACCTAAGCGTTTGAACATCCTTTCTTTATCAAAACACTCTGCGGTTCCACTGCCACGTATAGTTTTTTTGTAGGCCTTCTTCCTTATCCAGCTAAGGTACTGCCTGCCTGGAAAAAAAAACTTCACCAAACGGGAACAAACCGCCCCATGTGACAGGGAAGATGGGTTGAAATGGGGTGGCTGTCAGAGAGAGCAGGAGAGCTAGAAAGGAAGACAGGGGAAAGTCTATAATGTGAGCACTGCTCTGAGGCCCTCAACTTCTTTCAAGCTCAAGTACCCCCATCACTGCCCCCGTTGTCGGCTTTGAGAGCTCAACATGCACAATGAGTTCAGCCCTGTGCTCGGAGAGCACGGCTTCGCTTTCCTCTGCCCGCGTTCTCACCTTACAAACACGGGCGATCCTCGACACAATGGTGTTGTCAAAGAAATCAAACTCCTTTCCCGCTTCACTGAAGAAGAAGTAGATTTTATCGTCGTCGCCGACTGAATTGCCTCTTGGTAGACTCTCTTGGATATAGGCTGACCCCACGAATGCTGGGTCTAATGGAAAAAAGAATTGAGAGAAAAAAAAAGACTGCAAGTGAGAATGGATATGCAAAGGATCTTCAGATACTTCTTTTAAAATGTGGTCTTTGCTATAAGACCAGAACAGGTTTAATTGTATTTATTAATGAGGATAAACTCATTGGGGAGAATTTGCTATAAAGTCCGGAAATCTTTTCATTCAATTTCAAAATCTTTTTAGACTCATATCCAGATCCGAGTTTACCAATATTAAACATGTATCTATGTTGATGAGGATTACGGTAAATGTCCAAAACTCCCATCTGTTTGCTTAAAAGCCCTGAGTGAAGATACAGCCTGTGTTTCCCTGACAGAAAAAAATGGGTTACGTGTAAATTCAGGGACAGATTATCCTAATGAGTCTTGCAATAACAGCAAAAAAGCCCAGAAGAGCCTCCAGTAGAAGTTTATTTTTGTAGTCGTGTTCAGTTATTAGCACAGGCATATTACATACATCAGGCAGGCTCTAATGGGATCAAAAAACAGGAGTTTTTCATTTAATTGTATGCGAAATGCAGCATGTTTTTACAAAACTGCAGAGAGTGGCTTGTCTGTTTGATCTACATGTGTTATAACTGATAGCCCTGGCCATTCCAGTTTTCTTTTATCCCTTTGGGCTTCTCTCTCCCCTCCCTCTCCTGGGATATTGAGAGTTAAACAGAACATTTTGCAAAGACCAGAGTGTTGTGTTTACCTTGAAGCCAGTTCAGGGAGTTCTCGGTTTTTAAGGGGGTCCCCTGACCGAGGCTCTTGTAAATGATCGGTTCATTTCCCTGGAAGTTACTGACCGTGCCAGCATACAGTTCACCATCTAATGCAGAAGAGGAGAAAGAAAACAAGTGAAACAGATCTCAATTAAGAAAAAGAAAGACAAATCAGCCAGTATCAAACAGACCAACACTGAAGTATCAAAAAACAAAAAACAAAAAACAAAAGTTCATGAGATGTTCATGAACAGGACGCACCAACCATGATGGCAGTGGATTTATATTCTGGATCAAACGGGCATCGGCTTCGACCGTCCTCAGTAACAATGTCCCCCTTTTCACTCTTCACCAACGAAAAGTCTGAGATGCGCTGGAAAACAAAGTACATGCCCGCCCTGAGAAAGCCGCTAAAATGTTAAAGAAGGAGGAACACGTACACGTCCAGGTCCGACTCAGCATGACACTTGTGGCCTCTGTTAAAAGACCTCTGTTATTTGTATCTACAGACTCCAAACCATAAATGTTCAATTCATTTTGTAGCATTTGTGGTTAATAGAGAAATAATTAATGATTAACTGAAGAAACAATGGACAGCCTACAGAATTAAACATCTGCTTGACATTAAGAATGGACTCATTTTATGTTATTCTGTATAAATCGGGAGGGCTAGGTCAATTGAAGTGATGAGAAACAAAAACACCAATTATACATTTGGGGGCCTGCTGAGCTGTTGAATATAACCCAAGGGGGCAGTTTCGAAATGTTCCTAAGTACTGAGATCGTCTTAAGTCTGAAATCGGTGCTGCTGGATACAGAAAGAAACCTCAATACCACAATATCCTAAATTGAATAAAGACAACAAGGTTTACAAGGATGTATTTCAGTGCCCAAGCACTAACAGGGGCTCTTAACAGGGTAAAACAAAACAAAAAAATAACATTGAAGACACAAAGAAATAAAGATAGTGGTAAAAATGCCAAAAAAGGAGAAAAGGAAAACACTTATTAAAAGCCTGACTAAACAAACACGTTTTTGTGCTCTTCTTTTAAGGTAGTTTAGACAAAATCTCTGCTCATGCAGAAACACTGCCTTACAAAATTAAATAAAATCTTATAAGTCTAGAATGAATGCAGGGATAGGAGGGAAAATATTTATTTGTTAACATTAAATGGATAAGTACAGTAGGCTCCCCAAAACAAAGAAGGGTTGGATTCTTAACCTAAGCACTGAAGGAATTAAATGAAACTTACTATATATGCACAGATGGGGCTGAAGGCATATGTTCCACATACATAGAGATGTGTGCTGTTCAGCCGGAGCAAGATCTTGATGTAATTGAAGCAATCAGTCTAAACCAAAAGAGAACACAACTGAAAACAAAACAGTAATGTATTTCAATGTCAGATACAATCTTCCACATTTCATTAGTGTCTTTTCTCTGCCACATCTAGACGCTAATCGAACTGACACGCAAAACACAGGCTCAGGCTGAAACTGGCTCAAAAAGCTCATTTCCACTGAGTTATGCCCGCTTTAAGTTTGAAAGAGATATTCCGTTTGCCAGGGATGCTGTTTCAGCTCTCGTCCCAACAGTCTCCATATGCAGATCTGGTTGAAAACGTCATAAATTTCAAAGCGGAGCCGTGCTGTCAAGTCAATGAATATCAGGCCATGTCAGACCAAATGGAATTGATGATGTTAGCAGAAACATTTGTAATTGAAAAATATGCTTCAGGATCAGTCTATTTCAGCTTAAGCCTCTGTGGGAAAGCACCATGCACACACTGGTACGTAGTACTTCTGCCAAACCAATATCTGTGGTGTCTCCACAGAAGAGCCACCCACGAAGAGGTCCAATGTCTGGAATTGTCATGTCAGGGTGTCCCTTTTCAAAAGCACACTATCCCAGCCCTGGTGCTGGAGGTGTCTACACATTTTCACTCCCACTGCGATCTGCATCTCTACTGATAATACATGACTTAATTGATCTGATTGCTCGTTTAGACTTTTATTTAACGCGTTTCCTCAGTCAGTCCTGATTTTCAAAAATACCCGATTTCAAAGGGCACTGTTCCCAACATCTTCAGCGAAAAGAACTTTGCGCAGACTCTGCTCAATGTGCTTGCCATTACTTCTGATTAAACAGCTCTCACTAATTGATCAGCTGAAGAGTTGAAACCAATTACAAATGCCATTTGAACTAATTTTGGTGAAAGCAAATTTACAGACATGCTTCAAATGGAAAACTGAAATCAATGAGCCTGTGATTAAGAACTCAGTTGGAGAAAAATAAAATTAGTGGTGGGAAGCACTGCACCAAACTATAAGAAATCTTTCAATTGCCAAATAAAATGGAAAGGTGTGGGTATCCTGTGCTGAAGTGGGAATACCTCAGTTGCTTTCAGTAATCGGTAGTTATTTTCAAAAAATGTAACACTGCCATTAGCCGAACCAGACAGCCTCTCACTGTTTGACTTTCACGTTGGGCACCCAAATTTAATTTCTGAGAAGATCTGTAAAATAAAAGGTAGGCAGAGACATTTCTTACTTGCAGGTTCTTCCCTTTAAAACTGCATTCGTGTCTCTTCTTTTCCGGAGTGCTCCACGTCAGCTGCAAAGCGGGAGTCAAAATCTGATTAACAAAAACTCTCAATACGTGCGCTATACTAAAAAAGGATTGCAAAACACATCTACCCTGAAGGCCATGGGCAACTTATTGAAAATAGCACACCTTGTTACTAGCTTGCCTGCATAAAAAATGTTAATAGGAAAATTACAAGAAGAGCATGGAGGAGTGTCATGTGTCCTCGGGAGGGGATGGTGGTTTGCCAGAAACATAAGGGGAAAAATGTTTGTTTCTCTCACTGCTGTACTTATCCCACAGCAATGAATATCTTAAAACAGATTAAGAGCTCATATGACTCATGAGACTTATGAGCCCCTCTTATAAGCCCCTAGTGCTCATAAGATACATTCATAAGATTCACACCTGATGAAGGCTCCAAAACCTAAATGTTGTGTCTCTTTTCTTTTCCTTTCAGCATGGAAAGGAAACCAGGCCAAATAGCGGAAAAAGGATGCAATGTACAATCAAACTGGATAATTTGGTTCCCAACATTAAGTGCTCAGTTCTCACGCCAGAGTTCCTGAAATGTCACTGACATGATAAAAGGAGGGTGACCGGGTCCTGCCTCTGTGTTTAATCAGCTCAGTGACAATCACTGCTGTACAACTAGCAAGCGCAATACTGGGCGGTTAAACAACACTGAGAACTAACAGAAAATGGGTCAGTCTGTAGCCATTAAATCCCTTCTAATTGTACTGCAGGGAAGAGTATATTGGAAGACCAGTAGGTGGTGCTCTTTCTCTTTCAATCACAATGGCCCAGTGTCATGACCGGGCTACGCATGTGCTTTAAAAATATAACAAAGCTCTCTGCATTCCCCTTCCCTCTGAAAGGAAGACTAATCTGAACACCTATTCCACTATCTTCTGAATGAAGAATAGACAGGCACTGATTCCTGTACAGTACCCCTAAAAAAGAAATGTATATATACATACAAGACCTATTATTTTGTTTAAAATGAGTTCAAGTTCCTGTAAGTTTGAGAATTCAGTAGTAGTTTGAAAAAGAGGAAAGGTTGAAAAAGACTTGTTGTATGTCCTTCAACCAGCATGTGAAAGGTACTGTATGTGTGGATTAGAGTGCTGGGCAGTGACAGAGATCTGTGAGGCCAGCGTCACTCAGGTGATGGGCGGCCTGACTGCGCGCCAACCACAGATAAATCCCAAGCAGATCCGGGAGCCCTCACGTTCTTGTGGAGCTTTCCGTTGCTGATGTCGGAGAGGTTGAGGGCGAAGAGCGCCTCCCTGCCGCCCACGAAGAGAACGTCCTCCTCGCTGCTCAAGAGGAGGGAGCTATAATTGAACACCCCTTCGGCCGAGAACCTCCTGGCTGGCCTTTCCTTCGCATCTGGAAGAAATAAACCAAGAGAAAAATCCTGATTAGAGGCGGAAAGCTCATCCTGTGCAACCTTCTGCTGCAAAACCACCTTTCGCCATGCTTTCAGCACAAACACAACCATGTTTTAAAGAGCCAGGAATCTCATGTTCATCTTTATTTCTTTCAAACAGTATGCCTGATCCTACATTTATTTCCTATACCGTTCATGCAAAATACTATCCTGTATAGGGTGCTTAATACTCTTTCACATTTTGTGAAACTGCAGTGAAAAATGCTGAGCGTGTGAAAGATTCCTGATCCTGAGAAATCACATCGGACCTCAGCCCACACTGCCTGTGCCCCACTATAAGGGCAGAACTGCTACACATCCAGGTACTCTGTACGTCATTATCCCTTCAGCAGTTTCCAAAACCATCCATGTTTTCTCCACCCATTGCACCAGAGGAGATGATTCATCATGGTAACTTATTTGTTGTCTAAACCCTGCTTTAGTTGACAAGTTAAACTGATAGGATGAACCTATCTTATTACACAGTTTAATGCGGCTTAACCAGGAGAGCTGTATTCACTGTAAATATGAGCAGTGGAACCAGAATATTCCATTCAAACACATGGGTGTATATTTTTAACTATGGTTCACATCAAATTTGCCCATCAAAGGCTGGGCTAAATGGAGTGGAATGCACAGAGAATTTAAACATATTTTTTCTGCACAACATAAGGCCCAGGAAGACCTATACCAGAAACGTTAAAACAAGTACAGGCTGGACACAGCTGGTCCGACCTGCAAGGAATATCTTTGGCTCTTAGTCCGTACAGACAGCTAGCACAGCTGACATTCTCAGATGTTGGCACTCCAAAAAACAAAAGTCAAAAACAAGAACCTACAAGTAATGTAAGACATGCATACCTTTTTCATACCATTAGATCAAAAACCGCAAGAGATTTGGCTTACACTGATAGTATGTTTATCAGTGCATTGACCCTCTTGTGGTGTTAGAAAGTCATAAAGATTCAGAAACCATGCCAACATGTACCATTACACCAGAGGTACTCTAAACAAACAAGGGTGAGTGAAGAGACTAGGGAGTCCTGACATCTCCTATCATCACTTTGGGGGTGAGGTCAAAGGCTGCAGTAATGCCAAGTCAGCCCTTAATCTCTGGTTCCACTTTGCTGCCTTTTCCACGTGCTAAAGCAGTGAGGTTTCTTAGCCCTGTCCTCTGTGTTCACTCCCAGACTCGGAAAGTCACCAGTGTAGCTAGAGGAGTGGAGGCAATGCCCTGTGTCTCATCATTGCTGAGCTATGAGCAGAGCCCATCTAGATAGATCCACCAATAAGCCACCAGTGGAAGGAGAGCATGTACCATACAGACATATTTTGAGAGAAGTCAATGACAGGGCTTGGAACAAAACAGTGGGTGTTTTTGCCTCAATAATGCCCATGAAAGCTGACTGCCCATTTACTGCTTCTGTTTACCATGCTTTCCTATGGTTGTAATACACCCTCAGTTTGCTTGACTACACTTGGCCATGGGAATATTGATTATTTCACTCAGGGCCCAGTGTTGTAAAACCCAGTGCAGGCATATTATAAGCACAGCAAAAGTGATGCAATGCTATGGCAAAACATCAAAAATAGAACTATGTATGACAAGTACCACATACAAACAACCTCTCATAACACATATTCAGTGATGAATTCTGTGAAATATAGCTGAGCAGATCATCCTTTTTTTGCACATAGTACATCAGGCACATACTGTATATATTTCGGATATGAGTGCAGGATGGATAGAAAAAACAAATTATTTACACGAATTCACCCCTTTAAACAGGTATGTCTATTTAACAAAGACAAAACAAAACACTAAAGTGGGATAAAAAAAAAACATTAAATAAATCTTCAGAACAGCAATCACAGTGTTTTGTGTTTTAAAAGAAATGATCAGGCACTGTCCTGCAGCTCCTGTAGATACCACAGGTCTGGCACCAGTGGGAGCTGTACAAATGTGATTTAGTGATGAAGGGCACAGAGAAATCTCCAAGCCGGCAATCTCACATCTAAAAGATCAAGGGGCAGTAGGTTTGTGGAACAAGTTTCTACCCACAGGGGAGGCCGCAATAATAATAACAGGGAATCATCTGAGCAGCTGGAGACTTTATTACTATGAAATCTGCTCCCAAAACTGGAAGACTGTACTTTAACTCACAACGCACAGCTGAGCTGAATCTATGGTTTAAGTAACAATGAAAAGACACATATGATAAAAGGAATCTTTTCCAGATAAAACCATGAGGTAAAGGAAGATGCTGCTAGCTTACATTTGGAGTTGCTGGGAAACCATGCTTTTCCATACAGAACAAGAACAGTGATGACTGCTCTGATGACCTTTTCCCCTGCTCTTCCCCACATGTGAGCCTCCAGCTTCTCTGGCATTTTTGAAACTAAAAAAAGTTTGACAGCACAGACATCTAGAACAACAAGGCATATGATAGAGTCATAAGCGCGAACTATGGCAGGAGACATGAAACCATTGTTTCAAGAATCAAGTGTGATCCACGTACCAGGTTTTGCTCCAATAGTGACATGAGAAACACTTGCAGGGGCTAATTCACCACGACCGCCAAATTAACACACTCAGGCTGTTTGCTCAGCTGCCCTCAAATAAATTTCTCTGGCTCATATCTGCAGTTATTAACAAGAGCGTGTGCCTCAGCAGAAAATGTTCATCAGCCTTGACATAAAAACACATAATAATGCTTGGAGCTTCTAGTCATGTTGCTACAAACCGTTTTGAAGATGCCCACCCACTTCAAACACAATTCTTTCTACTTTACTGCTTGGGTTGAATAGCACTCATAAACTTCTATTATTGTTTATCATCACACATTTAAGTTCATCAGTGCGTCTTGAGGGAAAAAAAAAAGAACTTGTGGCTTTTGGCAGCTGGGGTATTTTACTGAGAAAACTGAGCGCAGCTGTGTGGCAAGCTGCATCTTGTCCAGCATCTCCCGAAACGTTACAGAACACGATGCTCCCTCTAAAGAACCACTCTTCCATGTGGAGTCAATGACAGAAACAGAGGAAGAAAAAAAGAGACGCGCACAAATTCCAAACGTGTCTCAGAGTAATAATTACTGGATTATTTTGAATAAACGTGGATCTTTAAGCAGAGAAAGGGAGTACATTTTATAGCACCCGAAAACGGATTCTAACCCCTAATCTTAAAGAGTCAGTCAGTCTGTGATACAAAGGCACCGGATTACATGTAACGCTTTGTGAATGTTTTTATGTAAAGAAAAGAACATGGCCCAGAGGAAACCCAGAAGGTCCCAGCAGTGAGTTTCCCATCATTAAGAAACAAATGAGTCTACTTTTCTTAATGTATCAAACAAAAAAACAACAACAACAGTAAATGAATTTCTTTGTTTATTTCAAGAAATTAAGCAATGCCATTCACACCCCCTCCCACTGCCATCACAGCATAGCAACCTTAGTAAAAACATATGGATTTATTGGGAAGGAATCAGTTTAACTCTGCAATAACAGAATTTATTGACAGTGGATTCTTGTCCCATGGACACAACTGCGAATCTTATTTTAGATTCTGTGGTGTGCTGGGTCTCGGGTCAGCTCCCTGGAGCAATCCTGAGATGTCTGCAGCTGTCCTAGCCCTAAAAAAGGTGTGACCTGTTGTGGGAAGGCTCTGTGTGAAAGCCTGTAAAGGGCCAAAGAAGGAGGGGAGTTCACTGAAAAGCCTGGTGAATTCCTCCCTGGAATCTCTCACTCCCAGGCCACACCGCAGAGAACCTGCTTCCCAGATTCTGTTGCTATCAGCGCAGAGAACGGAAGTGAACAGCTATAGAGGGCACTTTCAAATACGTGATCTTACACACGCAGTGCAACACGCAACTCTATAGCCTGCGGCAGGCCTGTGAAAGTACGAGCTCCTTCTAGAAAGGCAATTGCCCCCTGTCACAATTGGGAGGAAAAAGCTATTTCATTTTAGTAGACAGAATTCAGGCTCGGTCCTGAGAAGAGTTGGAACCTTCAGAACTGGTCTGTCCCTTTAAGGCAACACACATTGAAACACACGCACCAGCAGCGCCAACTCTAACTTGGCTTTCGCACCACAGCATGACACAGCACAGGCACCTTTTTGAAATGGATTCATTGTTTTAATATTGGCATAAGACAGCAGAACCTCTATCGAAGTACTTTTAAGATGTCGTAGGTGCATGACCCAATTTAAATGGCGTGTGAACTCTGTTCTGGAATCCTGGCAGGACTTTTTCCCTTTTTGAATTAGTATCTTGCTCTACAAAATCACAGCAATGTGAAATAATCGCACGCCTTCAATTGTTGCCTCAATGTACAGTGAAATATCAGTGGCTTTTTTTCTTCATAGGTACGACAGAGAAATTAACTAAATTCATGTGAATACTGTACTAAGAAATTATCGGTGAGCTTTCCTATTCCTTTTCCCCAGACTGTGCAGTTTAGAAGAGTACCTGTGGTTCAGTGCAAGACAATCAATGAGGCTTTTAACCATTACAGCGGAGGGCTTTCACTTTGCACCGAGGCCATCAGCTACAGCACCTAGCAGTCGTGCTCCTGTATAATCAGGCGGCTGTCCTCAAGTAGAACAGTGAACTGCTGCTGGCTCTTGTCTCACCTATGCTTTTGGTCCTGGGCAGCTTTCACGGCCAGGATACAGGACACCCCCATCTCGATTCGGGATAAACAGAGAGGCGCCCCATAGGCTTCAGTGTTTCCTGCACAAGACCCCTGCCTTTATGGCCATACAGTGTGGATGAGTGCCGGCCACACAAAGCATGTAATTCACATAACATGCACTGAAACATGATTCTTATGGTGAAGTTAGTAAGTAAACCGTTGTATCTGCGCTGCACTGCTCACTAATCCATTTGGGGAAAATTAATTTTCTTGCCTCAGGGGAAAAGTGTTGATTTTGCTGCTCTGCTGTTCCACTAAGAGCCGAGTC